CTGATCCTATCATATTCACAATCTCAAACTTGTCTGACAACAACTTCTTGTCAGCTAATTCAAAGTCACCACTCAAACCCTTGAACCTAGTCTTTGTGATTGCTTCAAGGAGAGTTGATGACACATTTGCTATCCTTATAACTTCCGCTGCAGTCGCTAGAGCCCAAGCGATATCATGAGCCCATACGCCAGAGATACTCAACTTAGTTATGTCAGCTTCTTCAACAGGAAGTGATTTTTTCCATCTCAAAGTGAAATTTTGAAGTGCTTTTGACATTGGGATGTAAGATCTAAAACCAACCACACCTTCCATAGACTCCTTTGCAAAATCATTAATGGAAGACTCATGGAAGCTGTTCAAGCTTTTGGCAGTGAGTATCCAAGCAAACCCATCACCCATCAACCCTAGTCTCCCAGCACATGGGAAGAGATGCGTTGCAGTAACTTCAGACAAGTGAACAACAAATACAGTAGCTCCCAAGTCTTTCAGCTTCTGTAACCTATCCATAACAAAACCATCACTTGAAGAGACAGTAAAACCAACCTTGGACTGTACACGAACGTTGTTCTCATGGAAATGCTCCACCATAAGTTGCATAGTCTCTCTCCAATCATCATGATCTTCATAAACAAGAGCAACACTGTTCCAATCAAACCCATTAATAAAAGATGTAATACCCTTTGCCTCAGAGGCAGAATCATGTGTAGCTTGGATCAAGAGACTGTATTTGCTTAATGACAATGAAACAGGAGAGTTAAGTGAAACCACAGGAACCCTAGCTTTCTCTCCAAGTTCCCCTAAAAGCTTAGCTTCTAGCAATGAGTTCCCGCCTATAATCGCTTCTACATCTTCAGTTTTCAGCAGATCAACAGCTGTTTCATTCGCAAAAAGATCATGAGCATGGATGGAGACAGAGTCTAAAAAGATACTTTATGTAGAGAAGAAGTGTGTTACCAGAAGCAAGAGCAAGAAGAGGCTCTCCATGAGAGTTTCTGAACGAAAGAGAGACTCTTGTTTTGTAATCCTTGTGAATAGCGTAGAAATCAGAAAGCGCCATAGAAACAGAGCTTTTCACTACCTTGCCTTCCACGGAACCCAAATCCAAAACCAACCCGATCCCAACCGGAACCTGTTCATGCCCGGACCTGAAACGTCCATCGTTTAGTGTCGAACCAAAGGAGCTGGAGAAGAAGAGAAGCAGAACAAGAAGAAAGGATAGCAAGATCGCAGGGTTTTGAATACAAAATCTCTCCATTAAAAAATAACTATAGAGAAAGGAGAAAGAAACCACATGTTTGTTGCTTTACTCTTTATTATTATTATTACAGAACACCATGCCGTGTTCGGTTTTTTCATCTGTCTTACATAAAATAGAATATACGTAGAGAAGAAAGAACCATTCAAAGTTTAAGATGATGACACTATTATGACTTTAAGAAGATGATGACACTATAATGACTTTAAGAGGATGATGACATTAGTCAACGAAATTTTCGGCGTGGGCAACCGAGTTTGGCTACTCTTTTGTCTTTCAACATCCACTAACGTAGGAGAAACAACATTTATATACGATCGTGAGGAACAAATGTGTTTTTGCTTTTGGTATATTGGCATTTTCTACGTAACTCCATAGTTTTTTTGGATAGTATTAAAGTATTGTAATAACTTGGGTCGACGAGAACTATTCAACTACTAGTTAGACCATCATTGATGGAAGGTTTTGAAGATATCTCTGCTGATTAGTGTTTGCAACATTTTGTTTGGTTTTAAAGTTATTTATGCATATGCAATCAAAGTTTTCTTTTTTTTTATCTCTGTAGAGTTATATTTTCCGGGAAAAAACATAAACTAAACGTAGAAAGAAAAAAAAAAACAGTTTGAGAAAGAGTACTGTTGCAAAAATGTTAGCATGAACATGAGTGAACAATTAAAAAATCATGTAATTATTTGGTAAAACTGATATACTTTGTTTGTGTAATAGATAAAAGCTCCAAACAAATAATGAGAAATCTTAAGAGTTGTTGCCCTCATATAGGAAATTGCCAAAAAAATATATTTCAAGGCATAAGATGTACCACAAATAATAAACCTACTATTTTATATGATTTGAGGTTTATCGAGTTTTTATAGGGTTTTGGCGATTTTAGGGAAGTTGATATGATTTATTGTAAAAAAAAAATCAAATCCCATCTTAAAGCATGAACTTTGGATTTCTGTAATTTAACTAAGAAAATTCTCTTAAATCATCTAAAATCCTTCAAAATCATTAACAATCAAATCCTTAAAATGTCTTTTTAATATTAGTGAATTTTTAAATTGATTTTTAAATTATTAGTTCAATAACACTGTATTTTATTAAACTTTCTAAATTTCATGATTGAATAGTATATGATTTTTACAATTTGTACAAATCACTTAAAATCTTAGATTAAATACACCTCCTAAGATTGTTTACAAATCGATGAAAATGAATATCATATATCTTCTTACATATTTTTGTTGTAATATCTCATGGGTAGTTGAATTTTCCCATAATTTGTTATAGGTAACGTTATAAATATGCAAAATAAAATTTCAAAAATCAAAAATCAAATTAAGAAAATATCATATTATGTAGCGGTATTTTAATTAAGAGAAATTCCCTTTGATGCTAGCATTTTAGTTTTTCTTCCAAAAATACCACAGTTTGTTTTTTTTTTCCATATATACCACAAAAGTTTTATTTATCTAAAAATACCATAAACATAAAAAGTTGATTTTTGAAGGGGTAGAATTATGTTTTTCATGTTTGGTTACCTATTTATATTTAAAGTACGTGAATTAAAAAGAAAATGTTTATCCCGCGGTACACCGCATGTTAAAATCTAGTTATTATTAGGAATATTAGCACTCTAACACCGTTTGGGTCTTTCTTATTACACTATGACACCGTTTTCGTCTATGTCACCGTTTCCTTTTGTGTTTTATCATTTTTACCCCTTAACTAAACATATCCTTCTAACCGAACTCACGTTACCATTTTATTTCTCTTTTAATAACTGTTTTTGTTTGTTTTCACTTTTATTTTTGTCCTTGTTAAACAAATCTCTCTCTCTCTCTCTCTCTTCTTCAATCTATCAGAGGCAAAGCAACCAAAAATGCAACTCCAAACCCAATCCTTTGCTCTCACTCTTCTTTCATCTCCTAATTTTACCAAACCCACCTAGAGACGCGAATTCATCTCTCTGAAACAAGATCCGTCTTGTCCAATTTCGCTCTGATGCTCCATTTCCACGGTTTCGGATAATCCATTGATGACGATCCATCATCTCTCCGCTTCATCCTACAAGCCCTTTCCGGCGGAGGTTTAAAGGAGTATTATGGAGCTTTCCTCCGTTGGTACTCTCTCCACTTTGACCAACGACGGCTGGCCTCTCTGTGTTGAATTTCGCTTCGCCTCTCTCTCCACACTCGCAACCGCCGCACACTCGCATCCGTCGTCTGACATGTGGTGCACACTTACAACCAGCATGCCAATCTTGTCAAATTACTCCTCATATCCATTCGTTTTTGTATCACAGGCAATTGCTCACTCTTTCTTGGCAAATCCTGGATCTTGAATCGTCCCCAATTTCACCGGTTTTTGGATTCGATTTTGTGGATGTGTGGTATCTGTTGCTTGTGTGGATATTATTTTGTGGATGTGTTCTTGTGGACACCTTTTACCAAACCAATTAAAATCTATTTCTTTTATTTTTTCAAAATAAAAACCCTAATCTGCCGTTTCTTCTTTCCATGACTCCGTCCGTCGCAGTTTTTTCCACACCTCAATTCGGCTCTACACTGTTGTTTTCATCGGAAAACCTAACCTAAAATCTTATATATGCCGTATTCTGTCTTTTGGGTACACATTGGCATTCGGTGAACATGACTGAAAATGTTAGATCCCTCTCTGGAGTTTCATTTGTGCAGTTTCTATGGGTGAAAATATTCTAGGAGTCTCCTTTGTCGAAGCTAATCGATGTGAGTTATGTAATTGACATTGTTGAGATTTTTCATTCAAATGCAGTTTTCTAGTTTGAGATTTTTCATTCCAGTTTTTCAATCGAATTCATGGATGTAGTCATGTGGATACGTTCATGTGGATGCAATATCATGGGTGTGGTCATGTGGATATGTTCATGTGGTTACAAACGATTCTGTTTGCTTTATGGTGATGTTTCATTTGCATCTTCACAAGGATAACCACCTTATGATATGTGAGGAGCTTATTTGATTTTTAAGATTGTTTGTCCATTTTATTTTATTTTCCAAGTAAAACCAGTATGTGAGGAGTTTTATAAGCTTCTTCTGGATTTAACCAAACAAAAACACATTGCCATGGATATTGTGTAATGGACAAATATGTAACTATTTAAAAATTGTGAAAAGAGAGTTTGTTTGTTTGTTGATGCTTTCACCTACAATGATCTTGTTGTATCATGAATCAATTGAAACACACACACAATTATTAAAAAAACCAAAAAATAAACCAACATAATCCAGTAATCAGCCAACAAGAGAAATAACCAACAACAAAAGGTTCAAGATGTATTTAATTAAGAATTGATGAAAGTCGAGTGTGAACAACAACATTGCTTTAATTAGACGTTTTTATCGGCACGAGACCGGGAGAAACTGACGCACAAAGGATCAGAGAGAAGAAGGAAGGGAGAGGAGAAGAAAAGAAGAACGAAAAAAAAAATTACAGAAGAACAGTGAAATAGAGAGAGAGAGATAATAAAGGAATCGGGAGAAACTGAAATATCTCTTTAGTTAAAGGTATAGTTGTCCTAAAAAAATGAACAGTATAAAAAGGTGGTTAAAAACGGTGTCTAAAGCTTAAACGGTGTTAGAATGAAAAGAAACATACAAAAGGGTGTCTCTGTGTAACATTCCCTTATTATTAACACATTTGATATTAGTATATATATATATATATGGTTTATCGATGTCTTATCACTTAATTGAGCCCAAAAAAAAAAAAAAAGACTCATAATGACGTTATGAATATGAATTATCACACTATGATTTACAAAATTGGTCACAATCGTAAGCCAGTTTGGATCAAAGAACTAATGGACCAGCGGAGGAAGAACGGCAAGGTCAGAGTTAGAGTCAGAGTCAGAGACATACCACATCACAACACTTGTGTGTAAGCTATAGAGTCATGCACTAGAACAGGAACATCCACTTCACTTGTAGTAAAGATCACGTTAAGCTCTCTATGTTAATCAGTACTTACGGTCTGTTACGTTGAGCCATTTGAACTGCATTCTCGCCAATGGGGTTATCAAGAGGACTAGGATGGATAGATCTTGTGAAGTGGATCATGAAATGTCTAAGTCGTTGTGAGAGGAATATATTGACCGAGTTCATAAGAAGTTCCCATCTTTCTCGGAGCCAAAGAATGAGAAGTACTGCAAGAGCGAAAGCGAATGAAACTCCGGTGATCATAAACAAACCGCGGAATCTATAAAGGGTTATGGGATTTGATGTATCATCTGTTGTGTATGGAAGTTGTTTATCAAACCATCTTCTCTCCATCTCGTTTAGCCTCTCGCTTGTCCTTAGCTTCGCGATCTCTCGGGAGACAAGAGGCGTTAACTCTGAGCCCTTCTGGAACATCTGAAAACATGGTTTAACAAACAAACGTTTATTATAAGAAGATGAAGAGTAAAGAAACTGATAATGCAGAAGGATGGTACATACAAAGCCAAAACCATTGGTGGTAGATTGTGTCTTGACCATTAGAAAATGTCCAGGGTATTCGCCAAGGACGACTTTGAGGTATGGCAACTCACTGACAATATATGTCACAGTTTTGTTCAACAAAGCTTGAGCATAATCTTCTGAAGTATTGAGACCTAGTAATTTCATTGCCCGGAGGCTGGAATTGGTGAGGGCCGCATTCGCGATGTGGGAGCCCGAGAGATGACCAACATAGTCTTCATTGGAGTTGAATCGTATTTGTTGCACCGTCATCATTGATGTCAATGTTGCAGTGTAACTTGTTACCAATATGAGCACTACAAATACCCAAACTGTAACTACAAATCTTGACAAGTTGTGTTTTAGTCTCTCTCCTGTCACACATAATAAGTAGCAAAAGTTAAGCATCACTTCAATCTTTTCTGACCAAGATTGCCATATACAAATGTGAAATAGGGATTACTTACTATGAGCATAAACAAGGGTAGAGAATCCAAACCAAAGCACAACTCCAATTTGTTCCGACCAAGATCCTTGGAACTCCTTGTTTTCAGGTCTTTCTATCAACCAAACTATAATACCCGTTAAGACAAAGAAAGCTGCACTTGTTATCCATAGGTCTGGTGTTAGAGGTTCAAAGAACACCCACATACTTCTCTCCTTTGCTGCTATAATTCCAAGACCCATTTCAGTGAATGGCAACGTAAAATCAACATATGTCGATCTATTAGAAGTGATTGTAATATCTCCCACGGCCGCATCATATTTGTCTTTCTAAGGGACACAACACAAATTTTCAGTGGAGTTGATTCAGTATCTACATAAGAGGAAAAAGTACTTGTAATTGTAAAATCGAGCTATGGTTAGTACCTGGCTATGAAGTGCATATGCAAGATTGTTGTAGTTACTTCCATTGCGCCAACGTATGTACTCCACTTCATAGTTGAAAGGTGCAATGGAAGCTTGAAAGACGTCTATACAGAACCCTTCAACATTTGTTATATCATCTGTTACTGGATCAACATCTACCTTCATCAGTCTTGGGAATCTATTGCTAGATGTAACAAGAACCCTCAGCTTTTTTCTATCGCCCTCTCTTAAAATACTCCCTTTCGGACTTTGGATCGACCCACCGGGCCAAATTATAGTCTCCAGCTTGTTATGAGTAGAAGATAAATGTCTTCTATTGCTGAAACTACCATTAGAATTCCAGAATCCTACCCTTCTCTCACCTGATCCTATCATATTCACAATCTCAAACTTGTTTGACAACAACTTCTTATCATTCAATTGGAAATCACCACTCAAACCCTTAAACCTACTCTCTGTGATTGCCTCAAGGAAAGTTAATGATACATTTGGCATCCTTGTAACTTCAGCTGCACTAGCCAGACCCCAAGCGATATCGTGAGCCCATACGCCAGAGATACTCAACCGAGTAACTTCTTCAACAGGGAGTGATTTCCTCCATCTCAAAGTGAAGTTGTGAAGCTCTTTTGACAGTGGTATATAAGACTTGAAACCAACCACACCTTCCATTGTCTCCTTTGCGAAATCATCAGCGGATTCATGTAAACTGCTCATGCTTCTAGCAGTGAGAATCCAAGCAAACCCGTCATCCATCAACCCTAATTTCTCAGCACATGGGAAAAGACGAGTTGCAATAACTTCAGACAAATGAACAACGAAGACAGTACTTCCCAAGTCCTTCAGCTTCTGTAACCGATCCATCAAAGAACTCTCACTTGAAGAGACAGTAAAACCAATCTTGGACTGTACACGAACGTTGTTCTCATATAAATGCTCCACCATAAGTTGCATAGTCTCTCTCCAATCATCATGATCTTCATAAACAAGAGCAACACTGTTCCAATCAAACCCATTGATAAAAGCTGTGATTCCCTTAGCCTCTGAAGCATAATCATGTGTCACTTGAATAAAGTGACTGTAATTGCTCAACGACAATGACATTGGAGAGTTAAGAGATATCACAGGAACCCTAGCTTTCTCTCCAAGTTCCGCCATAAGCTTCGCTTCTAGCAACGAGTTCCCGCCAATAATAGCTTCCACTCCTGTTTGCTGCAACTCTACAACTGTTTCATTCACAAAGACTTTAAGTATACGTATATAAACAATCACAAAAACAAACATGAAAACAGAGAAGAAGGTGACTTGTGTTAAAAGGTTGAAGATTTATAGAGTAATGTACCAGAAGCAAGACCAAGAAGAGGCTCTCCATGAGAATCTCTGACTGAAAGAGAGACTCTGGTTTTGTAACCATTGTGAATATTGTAGAAATCAGAAAGCGCCAAGGAAACAGAGCTTCTCACTATCTTCCCTTCCACGGAACCCAAATCCAAAACCAACCCGACCCGGACCCGAACCCGTTTATCATCATCATCGTTTTGATTCGAAGCAAAACAGTTGGGGAGGAAGAAAAACAGAACAAGAAGAAACGAAAGCAGAACTGAGTTTTGAATACAACAAAATCTCTCCATTATTTTAAGAAACTTTCCAAATACAAAGGAGGAAGACGAAACCAACCAAACCACACGTTTGCTGCTTTACAACATTACATTATTCTTATTTTTTTTGTTGTCATTTATATAATCGGTTTTATTCAACCCATGCCGTGTTTTACATTTTCTCTATTCTATGACAATATAAATTTCTTTTAAAAATCAAATATTAGAAGAAGAAAAATTCAAAGTTAACGATTTTTTTGGAGGATGACAATAGTCAACGGATTACAATTGAAAAAAGAAAAGAAAATTCGGAGTGGAGTATTAAGGTTGTACTCTTTTGTCTCTCAAGTCATTATTTTTGGAAAAATCCAACTAAAAGATATTCTGTTCATTTCAATTTAAGCGATGATTTAGCCTAAAAAAAAATTATTTTTTTAAGTGATGTTTTTAACTTTTTATGTAAAAATTAAATGTGTTTAATATTTTTTGACCAATCATATTTTACATCTTATTTAGTGACTGAATTTATTTTAATTAATGATGTTTTAATGTAAACAAGAAAAATTATATGTTTTCTTAATATTTATGTAACAACATTAAACATCACTTAAAAAAGAAACATAGTATCATATTTAGTTAAAAGATGACCACGACTACAGTTAATACTGGTTATGATTACATAATTTGTATTATTTTAATGAAATGATTTAGTTTAAAGATTTAACAATATTGTTATATATGTGGTTGGTTTTGATATGGTGACGGTTTAATTACTAAACTTGAAAATTCGTGAATTAAATGACATTTTTCCCATTATTTTTTAACTTTAATTAAATATTTTTACGGTTAACAATACAATTTTTAATTGTTTAATACGATTACAATCTACTATTAGTTGAAATACAATGATGTTACATTTTGGTCATAAGGTCTAAAATACAATTATGTTACCTTATTACAATTATTATACATAAGGTCTAAAATACAATTTTGTTACCTTATTACAATTATGTTAATAAGGTCTAAAATACAATTATGTTAGATTTTGGTCATGTATATGTTTAGTGACAAAAGTAAGAAAAAGCAAGATATGAATATTGAAGAATCTATTAGTCAGAATTTGTGAACAGACCAATTTTAAGCAAAAAAAACAAATTCAAAAAACATTTTTAAAATAAATATGTTAAATTTTGGTTTTCCTTTTGTCATCGTCGTATTTTTGTGTCTTTGTAGCCTCATAAATTATATATGGATATATTATTTATCCTTTGCCGACAAGAACAATTCAAAAAAAAAAAAAAAAAAAAAAAAACCAAAAAACAAATTCAACAAGGTACTTAGTGTAACTGTAATAAGGACTAAATGATAATATTAGACGGTCAAAGATATCTAGAAGTGGAAGAAAATGGTGACAGTCGTCTCATCTCAAAAGTAAACGATCTCTCATATGTTCAAAGTTTAGTCAACATCCTCTGTAATCCCTAAGTTTCGAGGCACCTCCACCTACTAACACTAAATAAGTGAATTCATAATAAACTATACACGACCACCAAACCTTTTTTATCATAAAATCTACAGTCAAATGGATTTTAATCATAGTTAGATTTGTGTTATGTAATGATCTTAGAGGAGATTATGTTTACTAGATGCTAGGAAAACAACCTAATCAAATTTAGATTGGATGTTTGGGATCTACTAATCCTGATTAGAAAAATACTTGTAATGGAAAGTTAAACTATGCAAGTATATATGGATGAAACTATGCAGAAGGAACTTTGGTCTGAAACCCAGCCAAGTAATCCTGCATACAAGCTTTGTAAGTATCCATACCTGTTACTTTCTCAGCGATTTCCAAACCGATGCTCAGCCATTTTTTAGCGGTCTCAAACTGTCCTAGCCTCACTGGCAATGCTGCTCGGTTCCAAGCTGTCATTGAGAGCCATTTCCCTTCTTCAGTCGGGTATTCCCCTTCTTTTAACCCAACCATGATTCTGTATGCTTGTTTATACATCTTTTGGATCGTTTCTTCATCCTCTGTATCGCCTTTGTGGACACTGGATATGGAGATTAGCTTCCTGATTATGAGAGCTATGGTTGGGTAATCTGGTGAAGTAGATGCGATCAGAGCGGATAAGCATTCGTTAAGGGCAAACGTTGACACGTCTGGGTTGGACCGTGGGCTTTGAGAAGCGAAAATCCCGAGTTGGAGAAGATAGTTGTAGTTGCAAGACTTGGAACTAGCAAACGTCTTTACTACGAGTAGCTGGAATGCAGAATTGTTGATCCTTCCGTGTATGTCATATGCAATTAAGGTGTACATGAAGATGAATTCTGGCTCCATGATACAATCTTTGCCATCTGAGAGTGAAGAAGCCATAATCTGCATATTTCTAACCATACATTAGTGCACTGTAAGGTAGGACTCAGCAAGTTATGGTGCTTATATTAACAAAGAGGAGAGTATAGAGACCTTTCCAGCTCTGACGAGCAATTCTGCAGCGAGTTTCACTTCGGTTTCAGTCAGTGCACTCTTGTTTTGCTTCTCTAAAGCAATCATAGCAGTGACACTTAGTATTATGGACCGGCAAATCATCATTTTGTTTTCTGCAGACTCATCAGTATCCATATAACCGTAAAATTCAGATGCAAGCCTCATGAATTCACCACAGAGCTCATACTTCTTTGAACTCCCACATCTTGACCCAAGATTCCAGCAAGTCACAGCAAACCAATTCTGCTCTCGTTTCCCAGTCTCTCCTGATCCAAAGAAACATTCTGCCCCAATCTTGGCTGACCTGCTCTGAGCTTGCAACATAAATTCAAGAGCTTCTGTTTCACTGCCAATGTCTTGAGTCAGAATAGTGACTAAGGTACGGAAGACCACAACCTCTGTGGTTGGCATGGTCTTTCCTGAGATATGGAAACTGAGAAACTTCGAAAGAGAAGCAACAGCAACTGGAAGCGCTTGGCAAGAAATAGCTTCATGGGCTGAAAGGGACAGATAATCTGGAGAAAAATCAAGGCAGGACGTCATTGCATCAATCTGACCAATGGCACAACTGTGATCCTTCTTTTGCAGGTAGATCTTGAACTGCAAAAATCAGAAGCAACGAGAAGTTGCTAAATTCGATTTTTTCCAAACAATCTCAAATTGCTAGGTAGCTGCAGACCATATGTTAAATAAATGTGTACTGTGGGGGAAAACGACAGTTTACCTTAAGAAAAGAGCAAGCAATATTGGGCTCAAGCTGCAGACACAGAAAACTAGTTAACAATTCTGAGTTGAAGGATCCAACTAGGAAAACAGTTGGAAGCAGCAGTTTCACAGATAAATGTGTACCTTTTCAGCTTCTTCTATGTATTCAAGAGCTCGATCTAGCTGAGAGAGCCCAAGGTAGCAAAGACACAAAACCCTGAAGCCTTTGGCCCTGAAAACTCTATTTTCTATATCATGTGGGATATAGAGCATTGATTTCTCATACATCTCTGCACTTATCTCATAATCTTTAGCACGGAAATGATCTGAAGCACTGTAAACGGCAAGAGATACCCATATTAGATCCCCAGGACACATTTAAGGAAAAAACAACAACAGAAACCTATCAACTGCTGTAGCCAAGTAGAGTCACTCAGTTACCTAATAAGCAATAAATTAGATATACCAAGGTAATCAAAGAAGAGTACAGTTACATGAATGGCAAAAACATACCTATTCCAGAGAACAGAATGTATTGCCTTCCTCTCCTTAGTCACTGCTTCGCCAGCAAAAAGAGCAACAACTCTCTCGTCTGATACAAGCTGAGCCACAACATTCGCCCTGATTCTCGAACCATTATCACCTCCCCTACTCTCACCAAGTACCCGATGGGCCACTCTGAGCGCCGCCTTTGCACTAACATGGCACCTTCCCAACAGACCTAAGAACACACCCTTTGCAGTTTCTGCTCCAGCAGTCCCCACCACCTCAAAATATGCTTCCACAGCAGATACCCACACTGCCTCTGGAATGTCTTTGTTTCCCACCATACCTCTCAGCTCCATCTCTGCCTCACTATGCCTCCCAAGCCCTAGCCAAGCTTTCATCGCCAACACAGGTAATGAAGCATGTTGATCAGGTCCATCACTACCATTTCCTCCATTCCTGAGAACTTTCACACATTTAATCACACTCTCGTACTCTCCTTTTTGCAAGTGCACAGCTGATATGAAACGCAAAGTTTTGATTCTCATCCCCGTGAACTCCATAGTGTCTTCCCTAGTTTTTGCTGTACCTAACCCCTTCTCACAAAGATCCAACGCCTCATTCATGAGCCTGAGAGCATCGTTTAGACTGCAATCGTCATCATCTCTGGACAAGGAGCTTTTACCAAACGCGAGGAATTGATTTGAGAGCGATTTGTAATGATCCGGTAAGCCAAACAACAAACTCTTAGCTCGATTAAGCAACGTTACAGCTAAATTCCGATCAGAATTTTCCCAAGCAGTTCGAGATCTCGCTAGGTTCAGATCCAGAAACAGTTTTTTTTCTCCGGCATCGGAAATTTTCGCGATATCAATTTTCGAAACAATTTCGGTAGCTCTCTCGAAGCAATCAGAGGCGAGATCGAACTTTTTGAGACTGTGCCACACAAGACCGGTCCGATAGTAGAAGAGAGATGACTTAATCGTCGGAGATGGGACTCCGTTGACATCTTTAGCGAGAAATAGCATATCGGCGGCAACATGTCTGAGATTCGCGATGCTCTCGGCGGAAGTTGAAGAGGATTGGAGAGAGGCGGCGTTAGAGAGATCAACACAGGCGTTCCACAGGCGAAAACTCAGCTTCCATATGGTGAGCTTGAAGGAGTTATCGGGAAAAGGAGCGAGTTGACTCAGCCGAGTTAGGGATTGTCTAAGAGAAATAGGGAGCGATTGAGGTAACGGCTGATTTTTGGAAATGGCTTCGGACTGTTGAATCAAAAGCTCGATCTCGGAGAGGAGAGGATGGTGAGTGTGTGACTCGGTTTCCCGGTGATGCAGACGGAGGTCCGGCG